AGGGAGGGAGGGAGGGAGGGAGGGAGACAACAATGTGTTGAATACCTGCTCAACACCGTCAAGTGCTAGAGATCCTGGGGATGAACTGGCCTGGCTCTCGGGGAGCTCAGAGGGAGAGGTGGTGGGAAAGCTGACAGAGGAACTTGAAGAGCATAAGAGGATGATGGGAGAGAGGGTGATGTGTCCTGCACACCAGACAGCGGGAGGCCTCTGAGGACGGAGTGACGGGAAGTCACCTGCTCCAAGTGCTGGGAGGATGCTCAGGCACAGGTGCAGGTAGAAGGACAGAGCCAGCAGATTCCTTGGCTCAGGCCCCTCTCTCCTCTCAGCTGCCATCCCTGCCTCCAAAGCCCGCCCCTAAGCACTCTGTCCCCGGACTTCTTAGCCCTCCTTCCCGAGCTGGCTCTTCCCTCTCCTCATGGCTCTTGCAGGTTCTTATCTTTCCTCTACTACAGCACCAATCACCCCGCACTGGATGTGCTTTTTGACGCACGTACATACCTTTCCCCCTGTCACCAGGGTGCTCTGTCTAAAACCAGATCTGACTCTGTACCGCCAGCTCAGAAACATTCAAGGGCTCCCCACTGCCTCCATAGGGTAAGGCACACACTCCTCCGCATTGTGTGGCCATAAGCCCCGACCATCTCTCTGGGCTTATCTCCTGGCCCCCACATTCTTCCTTACACTCTACGAGGGGCGGCTGGAACCACTCTTCTCTTTAAGAGGAGCAGCTAACTTCCGCCTTCAGAGGCTGGCCCTGCTGACTCCCTTCTAACAAACAGATGACAAGAGAGATGGAGCGTGACTTCTGAGACACAGCCGCAGCAGGCACTACAGTCCTCCCTCTCTCTGGATCATCTGCTCTGGGGAAAACCAGCTGCCATGTCACGAGGACACTCAGGAGGTCCACACCGGAGAAACTGAGGCCTCCTCCCAACGGTCAGCAAGGGCCTGAGCTGCTGCCCCGCCCTGTGGGAGCCCCGTGGCGGGGCTCCTGCAGCTCCCACTGGGCTGGACCAGGCAGTCCTGGCAGCACCTTCGCTGCAGCCTCCCGAGGGGCCAGCGAGGCTTCCCTGCATTCCTGCCCCACAGAAACAGGAGACGATAACCATCCACTGCTTTAAGCTGCGACACCCTGGGATAGTTCGTTACAGAGCAATCAATAATGAATGCACCCAAAGCGCCGCCTGCCCTCGCCGATGCATCTGGGCCTTTGTATCTGCTATTGTCTTTGCCTGCGATGCATCTCGCACTCTGACCTTTCCACCAAGCTCCTCACCGTCCTGCAGGGTCCAACGGAGACCTCCTCTCCTCAGTGAGTCGCTCCTAACACCACCGGCCCCTCCTCCCCGCAGCCCCAGAGCTGCCCCTGGGACTCAGCAGCCTGCACGCTCCTGACAGGCCCTGCCTACTCCGCACTCTCCCTGATGGCTCCGAGTCCTGCCAAGGCCACCTGCCCCTGTGGGCAGGAGAGGGCGAGGCACCCGATCAGTGAAGCCTCTGTCAACTGGCTGGAGAGCCGCCGCTTAAGGTTTCATTCCAGTGGGATGAGTGTAGAAAGGAAGCACTGTGCAATGAACATCAAAACCCAGAAACCTCCATTCTTTCTTCCAAATGATGGCCAAGCATGAGGACCACTGAGGGGCCCCACCAACAGCCAGGAGGAGCGGACCTACCTGGATCAAGGCCAGCACCTTGTCCTGCACGATGGTGGGCGGGTTGTTCTTGGGAGAGATGATTCTGACCAGAACGCCGTCGATGAAATCTCGGCTGGCCACGAGGACGTGGAAGCGGTGGCCGCAGTTCTTCACACAGGTCTCCAGCACCTGCCGTGGAGGGAGGAGCGTGAGCACACGGCCTGCGGAGCCGCCCGGAAGAGGAGGGCGGCTCCACTTCCACCCCCAAACATCTTCCCGACCGTCTCCTTTAGAACCACGCCTCACCGGCAGCCATCCTCACCCTGGAATCCAGTCGTACTCAGCGGTGAGGCTGCCCCCTGCTGACTGCCCTGCACAAAAACCAGGTCATTAGTTTAGGCATCACTTTCACGGGAGAAGGGAAAGCGGGAACGAAATGACTGAGCGGTCTCTGAGAATCAGCACTGTGCCTCCCTCTGGGCCTCTGGGTGTGTGGCGTTAGCCAACGGGACACATGCTCTGTCACAGGGAAGGCTGCTGTACAGTAAGAATTGCCCAGGGAGTTGTTGGCCCTGGTTATGTGAGGAAGCAAACACACACACACACACACACACACACCACACAACCCTGCTTCTGCAACTAAAACTGAAAATGACTTTCCACCTTTAGTAACTGGTTTGTGGGCCTCAGCTGCCATTACGGCAGTGGTTCTCAACCTTCTGGCCCTTTAAATACAATTCCTCATGTTGTGACCCCAACCATAAAATTATTTTCGTTGCTACTTCATAACTGTAACGTTGCTACTGTTATGAATTGTAATGTAAATATCTGATATGCAGGATGGTCTTAGGCGACCCCTGTGAAAGGGTCGTTCGACCGCCAAAGGGGTCGCGACCCACAGGTTGGGAACCGCTGCATTAGGCTTTAAGGTCCATGTACCCTTCAAACCCTGCCCACTCCTCCCCTCACTGGGACAATCAGTTACACAGGCCTGAGCCAATCAGAAAAGCACAGGTGCGTGTGGGTTCTGGCTAGATGGCCAGTGTGGGCTTGAATCTCAGCTCCACCACTTTCTCTCTGAATGGCCCCGGACAAGTCTGTCTGAGCCTCTGCTTCCCCATCTATAAAGCGGGCACATGAGCACTCCCTTCCAGAACTGTAGTAAGGCTGCCTGGGAAGCACCTAGCACAGTGCCCTGCATAGGGGAGGAGCCAGTAAATGAGAACTTTGATGCTTGGATGCCATTCCAAAGGCTGCACTACATACTCAAGTGACGGGACAGTTCAGTCCCCGCAGGACCAGAGAGAGGCCCTGGAGCCCAGAGGTGTCAACTGCAGGCCCCCTCCCGCCTGGAGCACAGCATTCTGAATTCCTTAGCTCTCTGGAAACCAACCCTGACCCTTCCCACGTCAGCGCCCCCAAAGCCACGGGCGACTAGTGGGGATGCCTCCTTGCAAGGACGTCACCAGCAACAGGGGGCATTTCTGACCGCCTCATTTGCCCAAACTAACCTGACCACTGGGTAGCTCATGCAGTCATTCCAGAGCCCGGTTCACACACTGGGGCAGCACCTCGGCAAAGCATGGCCATGAAGAAAGGTCTACAAGCTAACGTGACCTGAATGCAGGCAGACACCAGGTACTGCGAAGGATTCTTTCACATTATACAGAATTTCACTCGATTCTTACAGCCAATTCTCTTTACGTGGATGTTGTTATCCCACTTTCTTACCCCGAGGAGGCTTACAAAGGTGAAGAGACTGGTCAGTGCCAGACCCAGGATGGGGACTCCAACCAGCCTTCTCTGAAGCCCCCATCCCCGCACCCAGGAGACACAGGCAGTGTGTGCCAGCTTTCCCGCTCCCTCAGGTGGTCCCAGAAATAGCCCTGTAAGGGGGACCGCCGATGCAGAGCTGAGAGCTGTGGCGTGGCGATGCCCGTCATTCCCAGAGGAGGCCAGAGCTGGCAGGTGCACTGAGCCCCACGGGGGGCACCGGGCTCCGCTCGGGCAGCTGAGGGAGACCCCGAAGCTCAGCGCCCCTGGCTGCTAAGGTTTTCTTCAGTCAAGAGGGCGCTCTCTTTCTTAGCCTCTGCTCATGCTGGACTCCAGGGGACGACGAGGTGCCAGCATTCTCTCTCACAGGGACCTGTGCAGGCTGCAAGATGAACCCCAGGGGTCTCCTGCCTTCAAGGAACTTACAGTCGCCCTTCCTTCTAGGAGCTTCAAAAAGCCTCCTCCTAATTTTACTACACAGGCAGTGGGCTGCTGGCTGGGGTAGGTGGCAGGAAGGATGGTGTATGTGATGAGGAGCAGGCCGGGGAAGAGCAGTGAGGTGGAAGGGTCATGGGAAGAGAGGAGCAGGGAGGCTGAGGGGCAGGGCAGCAGCCAGGGCACACTTCGTTTCCCTGGAGCAGACTTTAGAGTCAGATACTCTGGGGCTCAGATACATAGGCTTGGCAATGCCCTGGGCAGAGGTGGCATGTGCGACAGAGCAGCCCAAGGCCTAGCAGAACAGAAGATGCGGGAGGTCTTACCTGGCTGGCAATGACCACACCACTCAACCCAAGGAGGCCCAGCAACCCACTTCAAGCCCCTCTGCCAAAAGGCCCCCGGAAAACTGTCTCTGTGGGTTGTAGGGCATGAAATACCCAGCAGCAGTTTTCTAGAATGCAGCCAAAGCCCAAGAGTAAGCAGAAGGTGCCTCTAAGCCAGCGGTTCTCAACTTGTGGGTCGCGACCCCTTTGGCGGTGGAACAACCCTTTCACAGGGGTCGCCTAAGACCATCCTGCATATCAGATATTTACATTACGATTCATAACAGTAGCAACATTACAGTTATGAAGTAGCAATGAAAATAATATTATGGTTGGGTCACAACATGAGGAACTGTATTTAAAGGGCCAGAAGGTTGAGAACCACTGCTCTAAGCAATCAGAAACAGATGTTTCCAGTTCATACGCTGAGGCCCAAGCAGAGAGCCCCTCAGGACCTCTGCTAACTCCTACTTGGGGTAACTATGAACAGCTTTGAGTGTACAGCTAGGAAGTGAGGAAGGCCCACAGGAGCAGAAGTGAGATGACTGAAGGTAAGATAAGACAAAGAGCGAAGCCACGGAAGCGGACATGGGGCCTGGTCGTGCACCAGACGAGGGCCTTGTGCAGGGGCAGGGATTGCACATTTAATCAGCCCCCCAAGGCATCGCTGGATTGGTAGTAAAGACCTGATCACTAAAATTAAAATATTAAAAATTTAAAAATACTTAGAAATAAATGTAACTAAGGAAGTAAAAGATCTGTACCCTGAAAATTATAAAACATTGATAGAGAGAAACTGAAGACACACATAAATGAAAAGATGTCCTGTGTTCATGGACTGGAAAAATTAATATTGTTAAAATTTTCATACTACCCAAAGCCATCTACATATTTCACAGAAACAGAAAAAGCAATCCTAAAATTCATACAGAACTATAAAAGGCTTTCAATAGGCAAAGCAATGCTGAGAAAGAAGAAAGCTGACAGTATCACACTGCCTGATTTAAAACTATATTGCAAAGTTATAGTCATCAAAGCAGTCTGGTACTGGCATAAAAATAAATACAAACCAATGGAACGGAATCAAGAGCCGAGAAGTAGACTCATACATACATAGTCAACTAATATTTGACAAGGGAGCCAAGAGGACTCAATGGGAGGAAGGACAGTCTGCCATAAACTGTGCTGGGAAAACTGGATATCCACATTCAGAAGAATAAAACCAACTTCTAAATCACACCACTCACAAAAACTAACTCAAAATGGACTAAACACTTACATGTAATATCCCAAACCATAAAACTACTAAAAGAAAAATAGGGGGGAGCTCCTTGACATTGATCTTGAAAAAGATTTTTTAGATATGACACCAAAAGCAAAGACAACAAAACCAAAAATAAGCAAGTGGTAGGTACTACATCAAACTAAAAAATTTCTTCATAACAGAAGAAACAATCAGGAAAATAAAAAGGCAACCCACAGAATGGGAGAACATATTTACAAACTATCAGATAAGGGGTTAATATAAAAAATATATAAGGGCCTGGCCAGCTTAGCTCAGTGGTTGAGCGTCGACCTATGAACCAGGAGGTCATAGTTTGTTTCCCAGTCAGGGCATGCCTGGGTTGCAGGCTTGATCCCCAGTGTGGGGCATGCAGGAGACAGCCGATCAATGATTCTCTCTCTTCCTCTCCCTTCCTCTCTGAAATCAATAAAAAAATATATTTTTTAAAGTGTGTGTGTGTGTGTGTGTGTGTGTGTGTATACACATATATATAACATATACAAACCCTAACCATTGACAGTGAGGAAATTGAAACAACCATCAAAAACATCCCCCGCAAAAAAGTCCAGGACCAGATGGCTACACCAGTGAATTCTACCAAATGTTCAAAGAAGGTTTACTAATAAAACTTATCCGTCTCAAACTCATCAAAAAATTGAAGAAGAGGTAATACTTCCTAACACATTCTATGAGGCCAATATAACCCTGATACCAAAACCTGGCAAAGATGACAAAAAAAGAAAACTAAAGACCAATGTCTCTGATGAACACAGATGCAAAAATCCTAAATAAAATACTAGCAAATCTAACACAACAGTACACCCAAAAAGTAATACATCATGATCAAGTGGGGTTCATTTCAGGGACACAAGGATGGTTCAACATATACAAATCAATTAACGTAATACACCACATTAACCAAAGACAGGATAAAATCGTAAGATCTTATCAATAGATGCAGGAAAAGCATTTGATAAGATACAATAGTCATTTATGATTAAAACACTCAATAAAATAGTAATAGAAGGAAAGTACCTCAACTTAATAAAGGCCTGGGCCCTGGTCATGGCTCGTGCAGGAGGCAACCAGTCAATGTGTTTCTTTCACATTGATATTTCTGTCTTTCCCTCTCTCTTCCACTCTCTCTACAAATCAATGGGAAAATATCCTCAGGTGAGGATTAAAAAAAAAGTTTAAGATGTGGTCCATGCACACAGTGGAGTATACTCAGCCACAAGAAAGGATGGAACAGCGCCGTTTACAACCACATGGACGGGCCTTGAGAACATGATGCCGAGTGAAACCAGTCAGTGAGAACGAGCTGAGAACCATACACTCTCACTCATGTGTGGGATGTAAAAACGAAACTCGTTAACACAAACAGCAGTGTGGTGGGTGCCAGAGGGAAGGGGTGGCGGAGAAGGAGATCCTAATACAAGGTGACAGGAGAAGACCTGACTGTGGGTGGTGGGCACGCAGTGCAATATACAGATCTTATAACATAGAAACCCACAGCTGACACCTATGTTCATGTTGACCAATGTCACCCCAATCAATTTAATAAATAAATATTAAAAATAAAATATAAAAGATATATGCACCCCCATGTTCACTGCAGTATTATTCACAATAGCCAAGACATGGAAACAACCCAAGTGTTCACTGGTGAATGAATGCATAAAGAAAATGTTGGAGGCCTAACCGGTTTGGCTCAGTGGATAGAGTATTGGTCTGCGAACCAAAGGGTCCCGGGTTCAATTCTGGTCAAGGGCATGAACCTCAGTTGCAGGCTCCTCCCTGGCCCGGGCACATTGATATTTCTCTCTGTCTTTCCCTCCTTCTTCCACTCTCTCTAAAAATCAATGGGAAAAATAAAACATCCTTGGGTGAGAATTAAAAAAAATATAGAAAGAAAAAGAAATTGTTGATGTACTATCCTATATAATAGAGAGCTAATATGCAAATGGTTGCCACACCCTCATGCCGCCACACCTTAATGGCTCAGACACTTAACACTGGGGAGAGAGGTATGGGGACCAACCAGGCACAAATGAGATTGAGAGAGAGGAATGGGGGCCAGCCAGGCACAAATGAGCTCACGAGAGAGGAATGGGGACCAGCCAGGCTGCTACCCGGGAGAGGGACAAGTTGCCCGCCCCTCGGTCCTGGGTGCCAGCGGCTGCGCCTACGTCTGTAGTCCAGCCCCGGAGAGGGACAAGCCGCATGCCCCGCAGTCCCATGAGCCAATGGCTGCACCTGTGCCTGTGGCCCATGAGAGGGATAAGCCACCCACCCCACAGTCCCAGGAGCCAAAGGCTGCACCTGCACCTGCAGCCCAGGAGAGGGACAAGCCGTCTGCCCCACAGTCCCGGGAACCTGTGGCTTTGGCCCCGGCGAAGCAGCCCGCCTACAGTCTCCTGTGGCTGCGACCAGCCTGGGCGAAGCTGGCCC